ACAATCAATGTACACTCAACAGCAGCCACTACAGCACATCCATGCACTGCGAGCATCATGCAAAATGAATTTGTGCGTCTCAACAGAAAACTAAATTAGAATAGTTTCAAGTTCACTCATCATGATCCAACTTTGCTCACTCAAGATTGTTAATGTAGATAATGTATGGGAATAATGAATGAGGGGTTAAGGGTGATTTTAGATACAGCCCCAGTTTGTTTCTTTAACTCGTTTAAGAAAGGTCTCGTTTATAAAACGTTGTGTAGACGGACATCCAGCGTTTTCATGCTGCATTCACACCGGATGCAGATAAAGCGTCAAGCACAAGTGATTTACAGTGCATGTTAAGTCAATGCAAATACGCGAATAGACATCCTTGCTCTTGTAGGGGAGTGATTATGACGTAGTGCCTGTTGTTGGTGTCCAAAGGGGAAATCCTCTTGACGACACCGGACAACAGTTCATCAAATTGGGATCAAAGAAGGTACAGGTACAGATCAGTTGATGACCTGGGTGCACCTCTGAAAGGATCTAGTGCAGTGGTCCCCAACCTTTTTATCACCGCGGACCGGTCAACGTTTGTCAATTTTACAACGGACCGGTGTGGGGTGTCTTTATGTGAACACAGCTGTTGCGCTCGTGCATCCAGGTTAATCATGAACAACTCAGTGCGCATGCGCTAGTTGCACTATCGCGGTCTGATTATGTTTCAATCAAGGTTTATATGCATTAAATACATAACGTCTGTGCCAATCATCTTAACTGACGAACATATTAACAATAATACAACCGTATAGCCGAATTAGATGTATGCATTGGCATGTCAGAGCCCTAATGAGTATGATTATGTGAAACTCCATTTTTAGATACATATTGCAATGATTTCGGGTACTTCCTTAGCGATGCACACACACATATATGCACAGTCTTTAAATGCTCTGCTGACTTGGACTCTGTAATTCCTGTTTTATAACTTTAAACTATCAACAACCACCACTGAGATATTCTAGCGATCGTTGTTCCCGCTCCTTGGTGGATTTTGGCAAAGTCCATTTCACATGAGATGGCGGGGGTGAGTGGAAGAAACCAAGTCGCGGGGGGAATATTTTCTACAGAAATAATTTATGATTTCTTATGTGACCTGTTACCAATTGTTCCACGGACCGGTACCAATCCACGGCCCGGTGGTTGGGGACCACTGTTCTAGTGGACAGTGAACAATGAAAGCATCTTAGTAAAGAATAAATCGATTTTTTTAAGAATTGGCAGGAAAAATATATTAATTATGTTTGTGATTTACTTGATCCACAAGATAACTTCTATTCAAATGGTGATTTTATGGTTAAATATAATTTCCCTGTAATTCATCAAGAATTTCATACTATAGTTAAGGCCATACCTAATGGCCTTGCTTATTTAATAAATGCGACTTGTCATTTCAAGTGATTGTTAAAGAAGAACTCAAGGTTTCAGTGAAGACAAGTGCATTTACGACCTAAAATGTAGTAATAAAAATATAGGAACTGCGTTTCAGTCAAAGAAAAGAATCGCTCTGAGAGGAAACTTTCTTTGGATTTCTCTAATAGATCAAATTAATTTGATAAAAGCTTGGCTTACACAATATCCCCGCAAAAGAGATTGTATCTAAATTTAGTTATTCTAATTTACCTTGTGTCTTCTGTAACTCAAGTATTGAATCGATTGATCGTCTTTTTGTCAAATACCCACATGGTAATGTGTTTTGGTCTGATTTATCCGTCTTTTTTACATCAAAATATAAGTTCAACATAAATTTGTCCATGCGTGATATAATTTGTTACTTTTCTCATGACAAACAAAACATAGAATTTATACGCTATTTGTTTATTTTATTGGGAAAATATTATATTCACAAATATAAAATGTTTTCATCATTACCCAATTTGCTGAATTTTCCTTAAATTGTTTAATTACTACTTTACAAAATGTTTATAGCAAAAAAAGTGTAAAAACTTTGAAAGGGAATTTTAAAAGGACTTTGTAAATATTCTTTAATTTGAAAGTTTTGCCTCTGTACCGTTTTTTATTATCTTATTTTAGTATTATTTTTATTTGTTTATATATAATTTTCCTTGTTTATTATTGTACTTGATGCCATCCATTGTCATGTTTAATATGATTGTATTTAAAAAAAAAAAAAAGGATATAGTGGACCCAGGCATGGCGCTGAACGAATCTACACTGTTTTTCAGCCTTCTTAAAGCACAGCTAATATCTTAATAAAATCCATGTTAGCCATTTAGCAATGAAGCTAGAGTCACTGGGCAAACAGAAGCCCTGCCTATGACACGAATCTGCATCATTGTGAAGTGAATTTGATGCGTGAAGGACTCAAGTAAATTCCAAATGTTCACGTGTCTATCTACGCACAAATAGACAGATTTATTCACGTGTGCCGGATCTGTTGTGAACAAAGCATCAAGCCTCCGGCATGTAGACTGCAGCTCTGTACAAGAGGTTTGGCCAGAGGAGAACTGCTTTACCCAACTGAGCCTTTTTTTTCTCAAGTTTTTTTCCTTCACTTTCGTCAATTGGGGATGTTTGTTCCTTGCCAGTGAGTGTCTCCACTGACTTGCTTGGTTTGGGACTTGTGGAGCTGCACATTGTTGGATTTGCTCTTTAGTTTTGAGGCTTTCAGCAATGCTATTTGTATAACACTGAACTAAACTAAACTGAACTCTAAAAACTGGACCGACGCAGTTTCAATTTACTAGAACTTCTTCTATGTTAAGCTGCTTTGACACAATCTACATTGTAAAAGTGCGATAGAAATGAAGATGATTATAATTATAGAAACCTTCTTAAAAGGAAGCGTACTGTACGCCAGAATAAATTTGTAGTTATATATTTATGATTATGGCTTATATAATGATTTAAGGTGGTTCAATTAAGTCAGTATTTAAGTAAAAAACATTTACTTACACCTGCGCACATTCTCTGTCAAGTTAGTTTTTTATAGATTACAACCTTTGCGTGAAAGTGCCGTACGAACGCTTCCACTTCTGTTTTTTTATGTGTATGCCACATTCATAAATAAGACCCCTGCAATCTAGATTCACAGGCATTCATGCTTTCGGTTGATCAAAATCCAGCATTTCAAACTGTGTCAGCAGTTAGTTGAAGAAACAAACACCCAAGCCAATCCTTCACAGTGATGGATGAAATATGGAAAGAGGAGCACAGTTCTTTCCTTCATCTGTGTCACACGGGTTATAGAATGGATAGAGTGGCACTAAAACAGTCCCTGTGTAGAAGGAGAAGAGTGGGTTCATGGTGACAGCGTTGTAGAAAGACACCTCCTCATTATCACAGTCTAGGAAAACGCCGATGCGGATTGGGGGAGTGTACGAGAGCACTGGTGTGGGCTTTGGGTGGGTGCAGGCCGTGATCGAGCCATTTCTAAGAGACAACGTCCACAGTCCGTTTAGCGTCGAGGAAGAGTCCATCTCTCCGCGGTGCACGTCTGCTCTCGCCACACCCACTCTCCAGGCGGTCTTGCCTTTTACCTCCACCTCCCAGTAATGGCGGCCATGAGTGAAGCCCTCTGAGCCCATTACGCAGTAATAGTAGTGGAAGCGCTTTGGGTTCCGCTCAGCCAGATTCTCCCCAGGCTCCTTGCCCTCCTCGAAAGTCACTGCAGTTCTCTCAGGAGACAAGGTCAGAAGGGGATGTGCTGTTTCAGGGTCAAACGTCAACATGGATATGTCTGTGTATGAAAATTAAATTAATAAAAGTCAAACCTAAATATTCAGTAACAGTGATATTTACAATGCATTTATGTGATGTAGCTTTAGATTAAAGGTGCTGTTTGTACGTTTTTGACTCTTCTAAAGCATAAAAATAGCATAATATGTTTGCAGATATTTAGATACAAGGCAAGTAAACATTATTGTTTATCTGAAAAACAATGCTGAAGCCAGATATTCTGCTTTGAAAATGTGTGTTACGTGCCGGAACGCTGTCTTTGTTTTGATTGTTTTAACCATTTCAATGGCAGTTTATATTACAGCACCTCGGGTTGCCTTGCTGGAAAACCACATATTTCATTAATTCATTTAGAAAGGCTCTCAAAGCATGTGCCCGTAACTGAATTGCAACCTCTGGTGGACAGTAGCAGCCTGCCAAATGAGAAGCAGATTCAGACACTTTTTTAAAGCCTGGTTTATACTTCTGCGTCAAGTGACCGGCGTAACCCACGGCGCATGCAACGTGTGTAGCTGTGCATTTATACTGCACGCTTTCTCTGTGGGTCTGCATTAACACTTCCGAAATGCTAGTTGGCAGTGAGGTGTTAATGTTCTTCTGTGTCGAGTTTCTTCGCTGCTGTTTTGCTTTTCCTGAACACTTCCGGGATGTACAAGTGGCTCAAACTCGCTCATTTTGACGCAGGAACTGGCGGACGTGCAACAACTTTAACTATGACGTAAACACAAAAGAAAACTTTCCATCCGAAGCTCCTTCACGAGACTCCACACTTGTAAACAATCGCTCCATCAGGCTCGAACCATTCACGCGGCTCTTGGTCACACCCACACTCGTAAGCGATACCAAGCCGACCAATCACAGAGCTTGCGCTACGCGTCATTGCAACGTGTAGTTACATTTTTTGAGAGGTGTACGTCAGCGACGCTGACGCAGAAGTATAAATCAGCCTTTAGGGCTAAGCCCTCATCCCTTTCGACCCTAGCAACGCCCCTGGTGGTGGATGAGGAGATTCCCCCCATTGTGCAAAAAGCATTGAGTTTTTAGAAAAGCGCCATATAAATGTAAAAAATTTATATGATTAATTATTATTATTTAAAAGAGTTAAATCACTAGGATAAATCAAAATCCCCACCACTGTAATGTGAAATCTAGCATTAAATTAGGGAAATGTCAGAACGTCTGATATGTAAATTTACAATACTATTTAATATTTAGTCTTAATACTTGGGTATAGTGATGCCTTCATGTGTTTCCAGATCCGGTACTGAATGGGCCCCACAAACTGACTCGAGAAGATTTCACTGTCGATTGGGGAAGGACGAACAAAATTCACCTCACATCTAAAAAAACAAACGAAACAAGGAAAACAAGTAGATAAGTAAAAGACTGCCTCAATGTGAAGAGTAACAACAAAGCTCGTTTTTTTATGTGTGAATTAAAAGACACTTGCCTTTTGAGAAGCTCTTTGATTTCCTAAATGAATAAAAAATATAGTGTTTAGAGTGTGAATGTTCAGATTTAAAGTCATTATTCACTGCTTGAATACAGCAATCAGCTCTTCAGATTCCACACTCTTTCAATCATGAGATTGTTTGGGTACTTGAGCTTAACAGTGTCAAACGGCTTCTAGAATTTTCTGACACCCTCCACCATCTAACTATAAACTCACCCTGTTGTTCCAAAATAGATATTGGCTTAACAGTAAATTGCAGAGCAATACAATAAAATAATAAATTTTTCAGAAATACATATTTTAAACATATAATAAACGCAGTATTTTTAACTTCACATTTTTAAACAATTCATAGAGATTACCAAACTATTTTCTTGTCTGTGCAGGTCACACCACACTTTTTAAAGCAATGGTCTCCAACTCAACTGCTGGAGGGCCGCAGCTCTGCATAGTTTAGCTCCGAGTCCAACCACCTCCAACTCACACCTGCTCAATAGTCTCTAGTAGTCTTGAACACCTTGATTAGTTGAATCAGCTGTAGAGTTGTGGCCCTCCAGGAAACGATTTTGAGACCTACAGTATGACTTAGGCCCCGTTTACACTAGTGCGTTTTAGTTTTAAAACGCCGTTTTAGATGATCAAAAACAATCCGCGTCCACACTAGCCTTTCACCTAGCATTTCAGAACATATCTCCGTCCACACTACGCCACCAAAAACACATATCACATGACCATTCGCGCACTCTGGGCATTCGCATTCGAGTATAAACAGGAAGCATGTGTCTCGCTCGGCATTTGGTTATTGTTAGTCAACAAACGCCAGTTGAACAATGAACGCGATGGCAAAGAAATCAAGAGAGGTATTTTTGTGGATAGACGACAAAGTCGAGTTGTTACTAAACGTAACAAATGAATAACTGCACAATGGTGCCTAAATCAGACAATAGTGCAAACAACGCTCCCATTTCTGTGTCCATGTTGTTGTTTACATTGAAAGGCTGGTCTGCTGTCTTCCGGTAGCGTTAAAGCCATGTGTTATAGTCATGTGATAGGGGCTTGACGAATAAGGGAAGGATACGCAATGACACAAAAGCCCCATAAGGTAGCGAATCTCAGCAGCCCCGCCTCAGTTTTCAGATGTCTCCGTTTTCCCCCATCCACACTGAGACGGAGCAGCAGTGTTTTAGAATGAAAACGGTTAATCCAGCGTTTCCAAAACGCTCCGTTTTCGGCGCTCGAAAACACCGGCGTAGTGTGGACTGATGGCGTAACCCTAGCAAAACTTATGCGTTTTCAAACTAAAACGAATTAGTGTAAACGGGGCCTTAAAGGCATAGTCCACCTAAAATTTAAATCTCTGTCATCATTTAGCCAGCATGATGCCAAAAACACATCAAATTGACATTGACATCAAAAATGCAAATCAATTTTATGTCAAAACATTGGCGTCCATTTGACATCCACACATTAATGCCCTTTTGACCACCACAATAACAACAAAAAGTATTATAAGAAATAATTATATTTAATTAGTTTAATTTATAATTTACAATGCATTTAAACTACCTTGATGTCAAAACAACATCAAGTTGACACCTATCATTGATGTCAAAAACACATCCACAATCAGTTACAGGACACTGCTGTAATCGAATTTTACAATGTAAATTTGATGTTATTTTGACATCAAGATCGTCTGCTGACGTCAAACCGATTTGCGTTTTTGTCGCATTTTAACATGAAGGTGTCCCCTGGGTTAATCTGCCTTCACTTGTTCAAAACCTATTTGAGTTTATTTCTTCTCTTAAACGCAAAAGATATTTCAAAGAATAATGCTGGTTGGTGGCACCCTCCGACCTTTATAATAATCTTTTGTCCCAGTCAATCAGCATTCTTCAAAATATCTTTTTTTGTGTTTAACAGAAGACACTCATAAGAGTTTTAAACCACATGAGGCAGTAAATGATGGAGTAGGTTTAATTTTTAGGTGAACTATCCTTTCAAAGCTAAACGATAAAGACTTTTACTGCCTTGGCTGTCAGTTCATCCGATTTTAAATGGAAATCCACCTTCAGAAGTTTGGGACTGTCGTCTTCTCGCAGTTTGCAGTTCAGCGTCTCGATGGCTTTCTCTAGAGCTCCACCCTGCATGGCAATCTTCTTCTCTCTGTCTTTTAAGATCTTCACTCGTTTGTCTCTCTCCTTCTTCAGTCGCTCCACATCTGCCTCCTCCTCCTCGTTCAGGAAACGATGGAGGTTTTGAAATTCTGCTCGGATTTCACGCTCAATCTTTTCAAATCTGTTCTGTAGGAAAGTGGAAGAGACGGACTATATTGACTTAATGAGAAACACAGCGGAAGGGAGAATAATCAATTAAAGGGCTAATAACTCTGAACAAAGATCCGGAGTAGGTTGAAATTAGCTTACTTATGGAGTAATTACTCATATATAATACCATAACTTGTACATTATGAGTTGTAGAACTGTATTAGGCTAAATTTAATGTTTTTTCGTGACTTATTCAAAATAATGAATGTCCACCCTTTCTAAACCATACACAGTTGAAGTCAGAATTATTAGCCCCCTTCAAATTTTTTTTCTTCTTTTTAAAATATTTTCCAAATTATGTTTAATAGAGCAAGGACATTTTCACAGTATGTCTGATAATATTTTTTCTTCTGGAAAAAGCCTTGTTTGTTTTATTTCGGCTAGAATAAAAGCAGTTTTTAATTTTTTAAACACAATTTTAGGGACAAAATTATTAGCCCCTTTTTATCTATTTTTTTTTTCTCGATAATCTACAGAACAAACTACTGTTATACTATAACTTATTAACCTAATTACCCTAACCGGCCTAGTTAACCTAATTAACCTAGTTAAGCCTTTAAATGTCTTAAAAAATATCTAGTAAAATATTATTTACTGTCATCATGGCAAAGATAAAATAAATCAGTTATTAGAAATGAGTTATTAAAACTATTATGTTCATAAATGTGCTGAAAAAATCTGCTCTCTGTTTAACAGAAATTGGGGAAAAAATAAACAAGCGGTCTAATAATTCAGGGGGGGGGGGGGGGTTAATAATTCTGACTTCAACTGTATAAAATGTTCTTTGAGTCGGTGGAAACGTTCAGAGAAATGTTTGCGTATATAAATACAAGAAACATGACAATAATGAATATTTATTATTTTACAGGTTTTTCAAGACACAGCACTAGCACTAATGATCAAATAAATTATTAATAATTAATCTAATATTGTATTGTGTTTCATTAACGGCCACGTGTGTCGTTTTAATAGACAGTAAATACATTATGGATCATTTTCCACACATATTTATTTTGACATTTTATTAAATATTTTAGAAGTGTGTCATCACATCACCATTTATTTTGTAAAAATGGCTGTGTATTACCTCATATTTAAACACATACCGAAAGTCAGTGGTTACAGCCTTTCAGTTTTCTTCAAAATATCTCATTTTGTGTTTGGCAACACTCGTGGGTACGTAAAAGGTGAGTAAATGTTAATTTTTGGATGCACTGCATGTAGCAAAATATGTAAAATCTTGTTGTTAGCACAATTCTAGCATGAGTATTACACTGTTAATATGATTTTTGTATGTTTTAGCAAGTTTCTAGCCTGAATTACCATGTTTTACCGTGATTTAGCATGTGTGGTATGTTGCTAACATGTTAACATAGATTCTGATAGTTGTATTTCCATGTGAGCCAGTAAGTGGTGTTGTTTAGTAAAGGCTATTAATACATATTCTGTCACAGATAAGCTTTACTGGTCACACTTTACTTTGATGGTCTGTTTGTTGAATTTAAGCTTCATTGCATCTACATGCCAGCTAATTCTCATTAGATTATAAGTAGACTGTTAGGTTGGGGTAACTGTAAGTTGACATGCACTTGCAAAGTTTCTAATAGTCAGTTAAATGTCTGTTGAAGGAGCAGTATCGAATGGACCATCAAAATAAAGTCGTACTGTTTTACTTAATAAACCGATCAGTACCTCGACTTCCAGTGCGTCCACAAAGGCATCTTTCTCAGCTTCATAACATTCATCAATTTCATGTTTGATTTTTTTAATCGCTTGAATAAGTTTCTCCTGCAACCCAAACAGACACAAACACAAAATCAGTTTTAACAAGATTAGCGTTGATAAATTAACTCTGAATTAAGTTAGTGAACAAGGATATATTCTTTTTAGATAGACTCTGAATGATATGTTTACTCTGTCATCTCATTTGGAAGCTTCCAGAAAGAGCAACAATTCATACTGGGTATTTCACCTTGCAATGACATATCAAGGAGACATTTAATCTTACCTTTTGGGCGCCGAGGAGAGAGTTGTTAAAGTTGTTGTTTGTGTCCTTCATGTGATTTGTGTGCATTCCAGTTTTGCTTGTCAGAACAAAGCAGTCAGAACTCTGAGATCTCATACATGTGTGAGAGAGGGGTTAAATCAAACTGACTGATAGGTGTGTATTAGAAACACACACAAAGAAGGGGGTGGGGTGGATTTAGTGAGAGAGAGAAAAAGAGAGAGAGATAGCAGTCAAAGTAAGGTAGGGTTGAGTAGTGTTATATTTATGCCAGGCTGAATATACAAATTTTAAATATAAAAAATACTTGTCGTGCATAATTTATTGTCAAATAAACTGTGAATGTTTATTTTAGTGTTAATATTTCAGAGACAATTTACTGTTTAACAAGACAGATTAAAGATGACACATATTTGCCTTTAATACCAAATGCCATGTATTAGAAGCTGAAACAATGTTTTTATAAATGAGTTACAAATAATCAGATGAAGCCAAAATCAAAATTCAATTCACCTTTCAATTCACCTTTATTTGTATAGCGCTTCTACAATGGAGATTGT